TCAAAAGAGACTGATTTAAGACACAACCTAATCTTGTAGGTTGAGTCCTGCTGCACTAACATAACTGCCTCTAATCCTGCCCCATTAACATCACAGACGTAGGATTTACAACAGTTAGGAAAATCACATCAGATGACAAAATGGTGAACAATCATGCAATACTGGGAATCATGGCCTAGCCAAGTTGACAAATATTTTTGGAGGACAAAATTCAATCCATTACATTCCACTCTTCGGCCCTCCAAAATTCATGTCCTTGCCACATGTAAAACACACTCACTTGATCATATCATATGAAATCAAAAGTCTTAAATCAACTCCAAGTCTAAAATCCAACAATTCCTCTTCATCTGTGAAATCTAGAATATAAATAATCTGCTTCCAAAGGACAGTGGTAGAACAGGCACAAACTAGACATTTCCATTATGAATGGGAGAAATTGGAGGGAAAGAAGGGATAACAAGCAAGTCAGCAGAACACATTACATTAGCTCTCATGGCTTAAAAATAACCCTCTCTTTTCAGAGACCATTTAGACAATGGCCCTGCCCTCCAGACTCTAGGTTTCGGCCACACTCTGGATTCTAGGTGGTGGCCCCTAGGCCTGGGCTTCAGCTCTGCTTCCAGGCCCACTGGAATGGCAACTCTGCTCCCTTGAATTTGGGTGGCCCCATTCTCCTAGTCCATCTGAGTGGTGACTCCACCCTTTGAGACTCCAAAGGTCAAAGCCCTATGGTTTGAGACTGAGGCAGCTCTGCTTCCTGTGCTCCTTGTCTCTTCAGCTTATGCTTCCTGATTGCTTGGCCTCTCCGCCCTCAGGCCTCACACCTACATCTGCCCTGCTGGGGCAAGTGTTCCAAAGCTATGAAGCTCCACTGATAAGTGCCTGATAAAGTACCCCACTCCATTAGTAAACTTTGGCAAAAGGCACTCAGCTCTCTTGCTCTGTGGGTCGGCTCTAGCACTGTGTTGCGCCAGTCTCCTGGTTCTGCTGCTGCCATTTCTCTGCTGCTGCTTCTTGCCGTCTGCACTGTCTCCAGTGTAACAGCGCTCCTCACTTCCTTCTGAGTCCTCACCAGAATTGTCTTTAATGTCCATAATTTCACCAACAGTCTCTTCAAGGCAATCTAGGCTTTTACTATTAGGCATTTTAAAGCTCGTCTAGCTTCTATCCACTCAGTTTCAAAACTGCTTCCACATTTTAGATATCTGTTAGAGCAGCACCCCACTCCCAGTACCAAATTCTGTCTTAGTTATCTACTGCTGCTATAACAGCAATACCACAAGTGGATGCCTTTAACAAAGAGAAATTTATTCTCTCATAGTCTATGAAGCTAAAAGTCCGAATTCAGGGCGCCAGCTCCAGCGGAAGGTTTTCTCTCTCTGTTGGCTCTTGGGGAAGGTCCTTGTCATCAATCTTCCCCTGGTCAAGGAGCTTCTCAGAGCAGGGGCCTCAGGTCAAAAGGATGCGCTATGCTCCTGGTGCTTCTTTCTTAGTGGTATGAGGTCCGTCTGTCTCTCTGCTTGCATCTCTCTTTTATATCTCAAAAGAGACTGATTTAAGACACAAGCTAATCTTGTAGGTTGAGTGCTGCCCTGTTAACACAACTGCCTCTATTCCTGCCTCATTAACATCAGAGAGGTAGGATTTACAACCTATAGGAAAATCACATCAGGTGACAAAACAGTGAACAATCATACAATACTGGGAATCATGGCCTAGGCAAGTTGACACACATTTTTGGGGGACACAATTCAATCCATAACAACAAGGGTTGGGATGGTTTAAAAAGAAAAATATGAATTTTCCACCAGCTTGTAAGAACAGAGAACCCCTTACCAAAATAGGACACACATTTTTGCATGAGTTTGAGGTCTTGAGAAAAAAGAAGGACTTGGCTGCACAATGGAGATCCAAATTTTCTACCAATTTCAAAGAACTTATGAGAGGATCCAGAAGGTGGATGATCCCCTATGGGCAGGGGGTCAATTGTGTCAGTGAACTCAGGTTTGAATGCGGCACAGAGGAGAGAGAGCCAGAAGAAACTGGTACTTGATTTAATAATCTGCACCCCTTGTGGCTGATATGTTTTCCATTTCCCTGGGATGGGTTATATTGGGGAAAAGGGTAGTGAAGCCCCTATTCGTCCTTCTTTGCCTACACGGCCACTTTATGGAATGGCTACCAGGAGGGATTCTAGTTTCAGCCCTGCTTTTCTTGCCTATGGCCCTTGATCAACACCCTGTTACTTTCATGTAAATATTTAACTATTTACATTTCAATTCCTTACCACCTGGCTAGAATTGGTTGTAGACTTTACATATTTTAATATGAGAAAAACAGTTATTTTACAAGCAATACTGAGACGCCAATATCAGAAAATACAATTTGCGGGTGGCCTGAGGCAGGATGGGGTTCACACTGGTGTCTTGTCACCAAGCGTTTCACTTTCCTCACCGATCTCTATAACAGTCTCTGTAGGCGCGGACTTCTCCGTTGCGGCCTCCCTGGCCTCCCTGGGATAAGAAGAACAATGCCAATGGCTCTTATTCTTGAAAGGAGTAATTAAACTTTGCATTACCTCCTCATTTTATTATTATTTTTTTCTTTTTAAAAAATTTTTATTTATTTTGTTGTTGTTGAGAATATACACAGCAAAACATACCAATTCAACATTTTCTACATGTACAATTCAGTGACATTGACTATACTCTTCAAGTTGTGCAACCATTCTCACCCTCCTTTCCTGAGTTGTTCATCCCCCACTAACATAAACTCATCGCCCTCTAAGCTGTAGGGGGCTCTTGCTGTTGCTGTTGTCAGTTTCATCCCATATAAGTAGATACGAAGAAAGCACAATGCTCAAGGCAGACATTCTTTACTAGTTAAGCTAAACTATTGCTTGGTTTTAAGAAGACGTTTGGGGATATATTTGGTTTAAGGTTTAAAGATTATCTCAGGGTAATAGTTTTAGGGGTTCATCCAGCCTCCATGGCTCCAGAAAGTCTGGATTCCATGAAAATTTGAAATTGTGTTCTGCATTTTACCCTTTTGGATACCTCCTCATTTTAGATAAGAAATTTAAATTGTCCCCAATCATTTACCCGGCATCTTTGTTGAAAATCTCATCCTCATCAGAAGAATCCTTGTCATGTAGCTTCTGTGCCATGTTTTTCTTGCGGGTGGCATTGAGAGGTCTATACATATCCCTGAGCCAAAGTGGCCGCCTTCTCCAGAAAAAGCCCTCCTAGAAAAGAGAAAGGGAGCTATTAACTCTGCATCTCTCCTGCTTTCTCCTGCCACGGCACTGGATCTTCCCCAAATGTACCTGACTTTCACTTTCTGATGTGCATCTCCTATGAAGCAGACTTCGGAAAAAGCCCCTTGGGGAGAAACACACACACAAGACAATTAGTGATTCATGTCATTTTCCATGTCCCTTATAATGCATATCTCTGGTCTCAGCAGGACTCAAAAGTTTACCTCCACCCATAATCACAACTAGCAAAATCACCACAGACTTGGGGCTTGAGAACAACTCCATGCATATCGGACTTCCAGGAGCTCTCCGTATCTGTCCACAGGGCCCCACGATGTCTCTGCGGAGACCTCTGTACATGGCTTGGCATGTAGGCTAGGCAGAATTTTCAGCCCCACTTACCTCCTTGGCCAAGTACCCTCGTGCAGTGAACAAACTGCACGACCATACTGGGCAGCCCTGTCCAGAAACATTTACATCAGTCCCCTTCAGATCTGGTCTCATGCTTCATTCTCTGGGGAGTGAGGGTGAGTGGAGGAGAAGGTGCTTCTATTTTTCTAGCTGCTTTATTTTGTAAATCGAATCACACCAAGTAAATGCCCGAGTCTAACTAGCAAAGTTATCTAGCTCACTGATTTTCATACTGTAGGTGGTCACTAATTAGTGAGTGGGTTGTGAAGTCAATTTAAAAGTCATGACTAACATTAAAAGAAAAATCCGAACAGAATAGAAAATATCAGAGTGCATACTGTGTAATAAGTTTAAAAAAAAAAAAGTTGCCATCAGGTCAACTCCAACTCATGATGACCCTATGTGTGTCAGAGTAAAACTGTGCTCCACAGGGCTTTAATTGGCTGATTTTTCAGCAGTAGATAGCCAGGTCTTTCTTCTGAGGCACCTCCAAGTAGACTCAGATCTCCACCCTTTCAGTTAGCAGCTGAGTGCACCATCCAGGGACTCCAAGTTTGCTTTAGAAACTACTTATGCCTATATTAGCAGCCATGTCTAGATTAAAGTTTGCATGTACTGAGTCATGATATAAAATGTAGATTATGGTCCAAGCACAATGTAATCAATGGAGAAACACCCACATGGGAAGGAGTCATCCTCTTTCTGATTACCCCTAGTGGTGAGACCCTGGAGGAAGATATTTTCCCTTTCTCCCTCTCTTTTTGAGAAAGCTACTGGCTAAGACCCCTCACAGTTAAAATTCTATGAGGTTTGGATAAGGGGAATGAAGAGTAGGGGCTTAACAACCAGTAGGATGAGAAGCTACGTTTTCCTGCCACTTTACAGGAAAAACACATATATTCTACCTTTCACTAGCCTTGAATGAGAACAGCGCTCTTACCCAAGACCATGTGGCCTTTCCTACCCTTTCCCCAGAGCCTCCAAGGAAGGCATCTGGCCCAACCTGATGTCCACCAACAGCAGGAAGAAATAGGCATAGCCTAACTCTTCCCTGAAAGGACTGGAGACAGCAGATGCCTCTGTGCTAGTCCCATCAAGCTCAGGTTGGGCTGGGAGGCTAATTTTGCTGGAGCCAGATAAAGTGTTAAGGTGAGTATACCCTTCCTGCCTTTGGTAGTTCTCTTACTGTAAACCGAGAGGATTGAAATAGAGGCCCTCTAAGTTCTCCTCCAGTTCTAAAATTCTATTATAAAAACTATCAGACTCTGAATGTTTTGTTATATTTTAACTACAATAAACATTTTTTACAAATTGTCAGACTGATATTTACCGTGAGGATCCTTCTTTATCTTCCTTTGATGCTGCTCTATGAGAATAAATCTGTTTTGGAAGAAAGCATGATCATGGTTATCCATCACAATGACCAGTATCTCCAAACCTTTATTCATTCCTTTTATTTATTTTAAGCCTCATCTCCACGGCTAGATGATAACCTTTCTGAGCACAAGGATTCTATCCTGTTTAACAGTTCTTTACTCTTCCATAGTACTTAGTTTAGGATCTTGGATATATTTTAATATATTTTATCAACTGTTTTAGGTAACATTCAACATATAATTCCTAATAAAAATGCAGAAAAGTAGGAAAAGGAAGAAACATCCTTAACTTGATAAAAGTATCTACCAGAAACTGAGACAACAGCATTGCTTTCAAATTAGGAATAAGGATGCTGTTACTACTGCTATATTCAACATCACTTAGAAGGTATTAATCAATGCAATAAGAAAAATAAATGGGATGTAAGTATTGGAAACACAGACAAAACTATCACTATTTGCATGTGAAATGATGGTGTCTTGGTTATCTAGTCCTGTTGTAACAGAAATATCCCAAATGGATGGTTTCAACAAAGAGAAATTTATTCTCTGACAGTCTAGGAGGTTGGAATTCCAAATTCATGGTGCCAGCTCCAGGGGAAGGCTTTCTCTCCCTGTCAGCTCGGGAGGAAGGTCCTTGTCATAAATCTTCCCCTGGTCTAGGAACTTCTTAGCACAGGGACACTGGGTCCAAAGGACATGCTGTTCTCCTGGCTCTTGTTTCTTGGTTGTATGAGGTCCCCCTGTCTCTGCTTGCTTCTCTCTTTTATATCTCAAAAGAAAACGACTTAAAACACAATCTAATCTTGTAGATTCAGTCCTGCTTGATTAATATAACTGCCGCTAATCTTACCTCAGTAACATCGTAGAAGTAGGATTTACAACACAGAGGAAAATCACATCAGATGACAAGATGGTGGACCATCACACAGTACTGGGAATTATGGCCTAGCCAAATTGATACACAATTTTGGGGGACACGATTCAATCCATAACAGATGGACAACCTAAAAAGCTGAAGAGATCAACTAAAATTATTTGTGAAAGTAAGATGAGAATTCAGAAGGAGCCCTGGTAGTACAGTGGTTAAGCGCTCAGCTGCTAACCAAAAGGTGTGGCAGTCTGCTTCCGCAAAGATGCACAGCCTTGGAAATCCTATAGGGCAGCTGTACTCTACTATAGGGTGGCTAAGAGTTGGAATCGACTCGACGGCAATGGGTACAGGTAATATGAGAATTCAGTGAGGTGGCTAGATACAAAATCAGACAAACCTCAATAGCTTTCCTATGCACCACCAATAACCAACTAGAAAATGTAATGGAAGAATGATTCCATTCACAATAGCAATAAAAAATCTCTCAAGTACCTAGGAATAAACTTAACAACAGTTGTTAGACATATGTGAGGAAAACACTAAAATTCTTCTGAAGGATATTAAGAAGAACAGATTATGAGATACCATGTTCTTAGAAAGGAAGTCTCAACATTGTAAAGATGTCAATTCTCTTCAAATTAGTCTACAAATTCAATGCAATTCAAGTCCAATGCCAACATAGCCTTTTAAAATTTTTTTTTTACAAAAACTGACCAGCTGACATTTGGTAGAGAAAGTATGCAACAACAGCTTGAAAAGTATGAAAAAGAAGATGGAAGAGCAGGAGTTTGCCCTACCAAATATCAAATTATGTGATAAAGCAACAGGAATTAAGTAGGTGATCCTGGTACAGGAAAAGACAAGTGAATCAGTGGATCAGCAGAGAGTCCAGACAAAGGTGGTATTTTATTTTATTACTATTTTTTTATTGTTGTAGTTTAAATGAAGTTTACATTTAAGTTAGTCTCCCATACAAAATTTTATACATACATTGTTATGTGACCCTAATTGCTCACCCCATTCTGCGACAGCACACTCCTCCTTTCCACCCCTGATTCCCCATGTCCATTCACCAAGCTCCTAACCCTCTCTGCCTTCCCGTCTCACTTCTGGACAGAAGCTGCCTCTTTGGTCTCTCATATGTACTTGAGCTAAGTGGCACACTCCTCACAAGTATCACTTTATGTCTCACAATCCAGTCCAATCCCAGTTGGCCTGGGAAATTGTTTTAGTTCTGGGCTGATAGAGAATCCAGGGGCCACGCTTTCTGGGGTTCCTCCAGTCTCAGTCAGACCATTAAGTTTGGTCTACTTACTAGAATTTGAGTTCTACACCCCATCTTTCTGCTGCTCTATCAGGGACTCTCTGTTGTGTTCCCTGTCAGGGCGGTCATTGGGGGTAGCTGGGCAGCATCTAGTTCTTCTGGTCTCAGGCTGATGAAGTCTCTAGTTTATGTGGCCATTTCTGTCTCTTGGGCTAATACTTTCCTCGTGTCTTTGGTGTTCTTCATTCTCCTTTACTTCCAGGTGGTTGGGACAAACTGATGCATCTTAGATGGCCGCTTGCAAGCTTTTAAGACCCCAGAAGCCCAAAGGTAGTATTTTAGATCAGCGAGGAAAGAATGAACCATTCAAAAGAAGATATTAAAACAATTGGATATTCATACAGGAAGAAAAAGTTGGATTCCCTACCTCAATCACACCAAAATCAAACAAACAAAATGCCACATGGACTAAAACATATAATGAGTAACACAATGTTATAAAAATCATAGAAAATGTACGACACTATCTTTATACCATGAGGTGGCAAAGGGCTCCCTAACAAGACTCACACCCCATATGCATTGAGGAGAGGGTGACAGATGTGATTCCAAGAGTGCAAACACCTCCTACTCTTCATAGCCCTTGCCCCCTTTTCCACTGGATTGTTTGTCTTTTTCTTGTTGATTTATAAAAGCTCTTCTTGTGTTAAACATATTCAATCCTTTCAACTCCTTAAATTGTATTTCAGTGTTTCAAGTATTTCACACTTGTTTTTGTCTTTAAGGAGGCAAAACAGAACAGTGATAATGAGGAGCACAGGCTTTGTAGACAGGTGACTATCTGTCCTGCTTTTGGTTTTGTCACTTGAGGACTTAAATTTCTCTCCTTCATCTGTAAAGGAGGGATGATAATATCTTCCTCAAAGGGTTGTTGTGTCAGATAATATATGTAGTCCAATGTTTGGCATTTAAATAAATGCTAAATTTGCTGTTTTGTTGTTGTTAGATGCCGTCAAGTTGATTCCGACTCGTGACGACCCCATGTGTGCGGAGTAGAACTGCTCCATAGGCTTTTCAAGGCTGTGATCTTTCGGAAGCAGATCGCCAGGCCTACTTCCAAGGCACCTCTGGGTGGGTGGGAACTGCCAACCTTTCGGTCAGTAGTTCAGTGCCATCCAGGGATTCCCTAAATTTGCTAATGGTGGTCAAATCTATCAAAGTTTTCTGCCTGTGGTATCAGGCTTAGAAAGCTCCTTCCCATCACAAGATAATAAAAATATGGCTTCTATTTCCTTCTAATACTTTTATGGTTTTGTTTTTTACATTTACTGAAATATGTTTAAGGTGAGAAATATGGATCTGTCATTATCCCCTCTCCCCCCAATAGCTAGGCCACTGTTCTATTACCAGGTATTCACTTCCCCCCACTGACTAGAACTTTAAAAGTTGACGTTTCAAAAGTGTTAAGAATACATGGGTCTATCTGGGCTCTGTCTGCTACTTCAAAACAAATATTAGGTTGTATTATTTCTCACTGTGGAATTGCTATAACGCCTTATCTTTCTTTCGTTGAGCACCATTATTGTCTACTACATGCAGAGTTCGGGTCCTAAAAAAGTTTATAATCGAAGTAGGAGAGAGGATACAATGAAAACATATAAATGAATACAAATGTAAGACTAAACTGAACACAGTAATTAAAAGCAGCACAGGATTTTATAGAAATGTCAAAAAAGGAAATGGCCACATGCTGCTTGGAGAAGCAGAGGGAACTGTCTGGGCAATGGCTGATGACTGTCTTCCCAGAGGCCTTGGCAAACTGACTCCTTGCTGGTCCCCAGCCTCCCAGGCTTAGAATCAGACTCTGTCACCACCAAGAGAACCAGCTTCTTCCTTTTTGGGGCAGTCTCACCTTATCAATATTGCAGGACTGACCAAAAATCAGAATGCCAAATTATGACTTGACAATGAGAAATACATCTGTTCCACAGACAGAACTTCTGTGTCTACATGATCAGGGAACTGTGTCTCTGTAGAGACAGGCCTATGTGCACACTAAAGCACAATCAGAAGGCTCCTTGGT